CTCCCGGGGATGCGTCCATGTGACATTTATATTTGCACAAACGGTGTGCTATCTCGAGACACCGAGCACGGATTGCAAAGGTAGCGGTTGGGACAGCTCGGGCAAAATATTACTTGTTGTGCGCAAGTTTTAGTTTGCAATTTGGTGCCGAGATGGTGAAATGGGCTCGAGTCTGCTGGGTATTTAGGGCGCGCAGACAGACAGACACCCGACAGACAGCCATGGCTAAATTTTCACGCCCCTGTGCATGAAAATTATTCTTTTTCTCGTGCGCACATACTGCCCACACGATCCCTCTAAACAGCTTTTTTTTGCAAAACAAAACAAAAAGCGTACCCCTAAGGAGACACACTTTTCACAAAAATAAAACTATTATAAGGTCATTTTTTTCTATCTATAGCTTAAACGAACCGTATGGAACAGGCGGTCACGATGAAAAAAAAGAAAGAAAAAAAGTCGGCGATGCCACAGAGCAACGCCTCATGATGTCATTTTTTACCCCGCGGGGCAGATTCTAGATATGGCGCGAATCCTAGCATATCTCGGCCGTTTTTTCATGCACGCTAACCCACGATGGCTTGAATGAACCGCAGTGTCAACGCCGTCATCATGATTTTTTTTTTTCGAAAAACAAAGTCCTTCCCGAAGAGAAATCGCCACATGTGTCGAATGTCGGCCTTGGCGGCGGAGGAATATTTGGCCCAGGTTGTTTGATATCTTGAGCAAATGGCTGCTCATGTCCACCACCCACAGCTCAAACGAACCGCATCACTGGGATCGCCATGCGAGAAAAGAAATGCTGAATGAAATGTTGTTGATGTTTATGAATTATCATGTATTATCGACCGCAACACGTCAACCTCGATCATTGACGATTGAGCTGAAGACACCACACAGAACGAATGAAAACATAAAAACTGCCATTCCGTTGGAATCTGCAACATGTAATAACTCAAAACACCATATTGACTCAGGGGAGAGGACCCCTACATGATACAGGTGCTGAAAGCAAACGTCAACACGCCAATAATCCAACGCAACAAAACCAATTTCAATCTCATTGATGTCTACACCTCTGCATCGCCGTCGGCATCATCGTCACCCATACACTCCATAAATTCGGCAGACAACTCCAGCTGCTCCTGGGCCTCGACGCCATCATCGTGTACGATGTCGTTGTGCCCAGGAGCATCATCTTCGTACGACTCGGGAATCTGTTCAAGAGCGCCCATCTGACCCCTGAGAACAGGGTCACTCGCAACCCACTTGTTCATCTCCTTAACGGCGTGTGCAACGAGACTGCGAAATGTCCAGAAGGGAGCCTGTCCTGGGGGCCAAGTCGTGACGCTGCTGGGCAGCTTGTTGCTCGCGCGCCTCTTGCTGGGGCGTACGTGTGTCCGCTTCGGGTCCTTGCTGCTGCTGCTTCTCCTTGGCTACCTTCTCTGCCTCCGCCATCGCGGCCTCGCGAGCGGCGACGGTTGCTTCGCGGACAGCGAGAGCTGCCTCCTTCGCGCGCAGCATGTTCGCCAAGTTCGCTTTCTCCGTCCTGGCCTTCCCTTTGGCTGTCACGCCGGTCGCAACATAGCGACCCTTCCTTTTGGTCACCATGTGCGCACGTGCAGCCGTGGGCACCAGACCTTAGGTGCCTCTGTTCCACAGCGGAGTGCTCGACACCGACGTGTTGGATTTCAAAAAGGGGCACGCTGCCCGGATCGCACACTCCCAGGGTTTTCAAAAAGTTCTGTTTGCGTTGCCAATTCAGAACCAGGCTACTCCATCGCTATTTCCCAGTGAAAAACAGGCGCTTGAAGTGCCCATTTTCAGCTGCATATTTTGTACGGAATACAGAACTTCTGAGCGCAACTCGGGTATCTGCAGAGAGCTGAGGTCATGAGCTTTCTTTTAATCCCACGTTCATACTCGTGTCCTCCTTATGGGTGTCCAAAGATCTGTTGTGAAGGCCACAAATGCGTAAACTTTCGGATGAAGCATAGAAGAAAATATTTCAAAAAAAAAAATTCAGGGCAATTTAGACCTGAATACTGTGTTCCTCCGTAATAGTGCTTTCGGCTTCCGGGCTCTCCACTGCCAGTCAGTGCTCCGCTCACTCGGTGCTCCCGTTGGCGCTGCCTTCTGCACTTCGCTCCGCCCTCCCTCTTTGTTTGTATACACGCATCGATCAGTAGTCATCTCGCGCGCAATTCATGCTACTCAATCAACCATCATCCATGCTGCAGTCATCCACCACGTGTTTCCGCGACCAGAGATCACCCCACCCGTGTTCCGTGTCCCTCTGCTCTCTCTCTCTCGCTCTCGCTCTCGCTCTCGCTCTCGCTCTCTCTCTCTCTCTCGTGATTTTCTCTCTCTCATGTGTTGAGTTGTCACCTGTTGATTAAGTCTTTTACTTACATAGTCCACCTCAATCTCTCGGTAACAATCTTTTCGTATCAGCAAACAGTTTTAGGCCGCCGTCACCCGCCGATTTAGCTCAGTGGAATCCATGTGTACGCACACACAGGTTTCGACGGTTTGTTTGTCTGCAGTCATCCGCCGCACATGATGACTCGAGTGGAGTACTCACTGTCGTTCGGCCGCCTGACTAGTGTGATACTTAGGGCGCACCTAAGTCGGTTAGGTGTGTCGTATTTGCTTGGAATACTTTTATGTGTTCAGATTGTCGTTCGGTTCGAGGCTCCTTTTCATTTGTTTTAGACTTGGTTCACCTTTGTTGGAAAGTCATCATCGAGGGTGTGTGTTTTCGTCCTACTCATTTTGGCGAGAGTCCCCCCATGATTCGTAGTGAGGCGTGTACTACACTCTTTCTTCACACTGTAAATAGAGTACTACACTTTTCAGATTTTTTTGCGTACAACAATCATCCAGGGTCACACGGGAGGGGGTAAACCAAGGTAAACACCAGGGCTTTTTTTTGTTCTTTATATTTATTTTGGTGCCCCACCTTCCTCCTAGGTTGCAACATCAGTGAAAGATCATCAACTTCCGACCACGAACGACGGGAAAAGCACATCATCAAACGCAAATATCACGTGACAAACTTATCTCTGGGTCGGTGAACAACTGCGACATTCGTACAGTCGGTCAATATCGTTCAAGGAACACATCAACCTGCGAACACGAGCGTCGGCAAAAGCATTTTACACACAAACATCATCTCCTCAATGCCCACGGTCAGTCGTATCTTATGCATGGAAACAAAAACGTTTATCTTGGAATCGCTTCTCTTGAGCGTGGCGGCGGAAGCCGCCGAAACCCTTGTAGACATACACGTCCGTATTCAACTTTCAACACGACAGCACGCCTCAAAGTTTCATACAACCTATGCCACCGTATGTTCTCGACATGGCATGCCTCAAAGTCGACTTTTGACACTCTTCCGAGCGCTTGGGAATGTTCGAGTCAAAGCTTCGCATCGTCGGGGAAGATGAAAACCTTCACACGGGTAGTGTGCTAAGCTATGCATTAATTGCTAGTTTGTCCCAGACCCGTTATCTCTTGATAGACATGGATGTGGCGTGTCATGTTAAGGATTGCAAGTCGTCATAGACGATCGATCGTAACAGAAGAATGGCGATGATTTGTTTTCTTGGGCAGGCCGGATGCTCCTTGGAGAACGTTGTGAGGACTCGCATGTACGTGACCGACATTGAGAACGCAGAGAAGGTGATGGCGGAACACTGCAGGGTCTTCAGCAGCATCCGCCCTGCTGCTACCCTCATCAGCGTGAGTTAGTTGCGCCGCATTCGAGGCAGTGTGTGTGTTTTTTTTTTTTTTTGCTCTACTTTTTTTTTTTTTTGACGCAGTGCTTAGTCTGCCAGGAAAAACCCACGTCAGAGAACGTGTTGTGGGCGAAATATGTCGGAGACGGGTTGGTTGAAAATTTCCATCGAGCCACTCCTCCGGCTCTTGTGTACGCCATCCAGGAGAGATGAAAATGGTTTTTGAAGTCCTGAAAATAGACTTGTTTCGGAACTTTCGATGATTTGTCTGTGGAACATTGTTTGAGCCTACAGTAGTGGACGGTGGCGTGACAAAGGCCTCTTCTATCGGAGCCCCCTCCTATAAGGTACCCTCTGATATCGTCGCTCGGATCCACGACTGTGTTCTTCTTCTGTGTGTGTGTGTTTTTTTTTTCGGCGAATTCGACGACTTGTGCCACATACTTCAGTTTTCTCTGTTCAGTGCAGGACGAAGCTTGGCTGTCATGTCTAGTGTACGTGTGCGACGATACTTTGCCTCTCGTCCGGTTGTTCAATGCAGGGATCAGCTTCGTTCTTATGTTAAGTCTACGTGAGCGACGATACTTTGTCCTTTGTCCGATTTTTCGATGCAGCTTCGTTGTTGTGTTTGGGATACCTGTGCGACGATGTGCAAACGCGTTTTCTTTGTTTTTTCATGCAGGACGAAGCTTCGTTGTTGTTTTTTGGTATATACATGCGACGATACTTTACCCATTGATCATTTTTTTAATGCAGGACTAAGCTTCGATGCTATTTTGGTATACGTGTGTGAGACGATCTACAACCGTTTTTTTTTTTTACATTCTGTTCGTGAAACAGGTGAGCTCTCTCGTCCACCCGGACCTGCTCGTGGAGATCGAAGCGGATGCGCTCGAGCCCTAAGAAGAATCAAACAAAACCAGTCGATGAACTCCTCACCCACCCAGGCGACCGGTAGGCAAGTGTTTTGGGGACGGTTGTGTGCCGGAGCTCTTGTTGGTCCTTTTTTCCTCGACGAGCTAACTAAACTCTGAAGGGAAGAGGACATGATTGTGTTGTGTCCCGAGAGTCGTTGTTGTTACGCATGGGCAACAGCTTGGCTCGGTGGGATGAGCGATAGTGACATCAATTGTGGCGTGGGTCTCGGCTGTATCCCGCCGGGCATCGAAAATTTCCACCGCACATACCTATCCCGCTGCTTTTTCTACACCCCGCCTAGTGTCGTGCTCTAGGTAGTCGGGTCTTATCCCGGTGTGGGCATCAACAGTTCGGTAGGTAAGTACTTCACATGGGTTTAGTTTGTGGGGGGCTGGCCTGTGCGTTGCAGGTGTACACTGGTAGCTTTGGTAATGGAAGGATTGGCCTCAAGCTCTTCGTCGGCGAGTTCTGTGAGTTGTGGATTTCCACCTTGCAGGTAGTCGCTCGGCATGTAACGCTTGTTTGCCTTTTCTTGAACAAGTGGCACGTGGTTCCCGCTCGGCAGCTCCTGCTTTCTCCGTGGTGTGGCCGTTGGTGTGTGTGTCGGGGTGTGTTGTTTGGGAATACAACGGGTGCTGTTCCACTGCTGTGTGTATTCGATCGTGGTAGTTTTCTCACGAGAGGAGGCGAGAAGACCTTGACGACTGGCGGCAGGTTTTGCCTAGGAATCTAGATGCGTAGATTCCATGCGAGGAAGCGTGCCGCGATTTCTGCATGTTCTCTGGGGGGGGGGGCCCTTTGCTTGGTTACACGCGGGGAAAGCAACCCTATTGATTTTGATGCGTTTTACACTGGCTTGTTCGTGACGGGGGAGTGGAGTGGGAGATGTGTACTTCCTAATGACTTGCGGCAATTTGCGCCGATATGTGTATACGCTTTTACGATCTCGATGTGCCGGAGGGAAAAGCTTGTATATATACCAGGTACGTTATTTACGTGCCAAGCGGAGCTACCGGTCATGTCTTAAGGGGGGGGGGGGGTCTTAATTTTGTTTTGTGGTGGCCGTGTCATGCCCATTTAACGTGAAGCATCAGAACTTGTTCTGGTCCGCACACTCCGACGTGCATTCCTTGGGCTTCGAGTAACCCGGCGATTTTTCACATGCATCCTGCTTAGGCAACGCATTCTGCCACTGCTGATGCTAGGAGATGCTAGGAGAGCATGGACTCCGCCAGTTAGTAAACGGGCGGATCCCTGCGCGAATTGAAGCGACTGCTGGTAGTAGGAGCGTAACCCGCTAACCTTCACGGGTTGACGTGATTCCGAAGGTTGGCTATGGCAAGAGTATGGAAACAATGTGCGTGCGACAATGCTCGGGTGAAGGGAACTGTTTTGGGGATGATAACGTGGTTTTCTTTAGGTTCCAGGAGGCAGGCGAGGAAGAGTAAGACTGAGAACCAAAGGTTTCGCTAGTGGATGGATACACGATTATTAACCACTATTATATTTTGGTGCGGGATGATGCTGACTTCGTAGGATGCATGCACAACAGCAAGTGTGCGCGTGCTTGTGGGGCGGGGGAGGAGCGAAGATGCCTGGAGGCCGCAAGCGCGGCTGTTTTTTGTTTTTTTTGGTTGGTTCGCGTAGAAATGTGTTGGGTTTAGATGACGTACACATTCCGTGGTTACCGTCTGCGTGGCCCTCGATGGGTTCCGCCGGATGCGTTGTAGACCGCGCCTCGTGTGTGGCAGACTATGGTTCCACGATTCGCGTCCCTCTTGTGACGGTATGTTCACATGTAGACTGTGGGTACCTTTTGACCGCGACCCAAGTTGCGCCTGTTGTTCGCGTTTTGGGCTCCAGATCTTGCAGGACCTCGCGCAGAGTAGTTGCCTAACATCTGGACTACTTCCCGTTGCTGTGCGGGGCGATTTTTCTGTCCTTGGCTCGCGAGTTTGACGGCTCGGTGCTGACGGTTTCAATACTTCTCGGAGGCGTTAATCGTGTGGGGGGGGGGCGGGTCCTTGAGCGGCGTGTTGCTTGGTCGAGTAGGTCGAGAGAGCGAGTGATCGTGAGTGGGTAATGCACGCGAACTGGCACAATAACCGAAGAATCGTTTGCTTAACAACTACTGCTTGCTCGTCTCTCTTCGGGACACCTTGGCTACCGGTTGGGGTTAGGGGTGGGATTAGGGGTATAGCCCTATTGACTCCCCGTGCGAGCAGCAACAAGGCACGCTCGGCGGCATGGGCATGGTTCGTGGTTGTTCACGGGAATGGGTTGAGCTTTCGGCGATTGGCCCGACCTTTTGGCCGTGCACGCGAGGAAGAGACCCTAAGGGAACATCGAAATGGTAAATATTGGTTTCAAACCCTGCGGTTTGAGGAAGTTCTTGGTGTGTGTGTGACAGTAAGGTGTTGTTGCTTCTGAGACCGCGCCCCACGGAAGTATGGGATTGGGCGCGCGCGGAGGGGACGGGGGGACAGAATGTGTTCGCTGCTTTATTACTGTATCGGGGTTTTGAAAGGCTCGTTCGTTAGAAAAGGGATGTGTCGGGTGTTTAGGTGTCGAGCGGACGGGAAGCGAATGGTGCGAACACGTCGGTCAGTGGCCTCACCTTTCTTCTTGGGGCGTGTTGGTGTCGTCTTGTATCGTTTTCCCATCTGGATCAGGCAGAGACTACGTGCGGAGTAGAGAGACAGCGGAGAACAGGAAAGTTTACCTACCACCGTTTGGAACGCATTACGTTGGTGGCTGTTATTTTTTGCCTAGTGTTGGTCGACGAGTGAAGGCAGGTCGGAGGAAGCGAGAGAGAGAGGAGAGGGATGGGGGCTCTTCTTCACCCTTTCGTGCCGATGATTTTGTCGAGGAGGGGGTAAGGGCAAAGAGAGCTGTACCGATTGCAAGCACAGCTGGGGGGGACCAGGGGGTGTCGTTTTTGTCGTCCTCGTTTTTGTTGTTGTTTGTTATCTTGCGTAAGCTTGTCACCGAACCGACGGTGCTGTCTCAGGGTGTTGCGGGAAGGAAAATCACAGGTCAAAGAGTGACTACTGTAAGAGATGAATCCTCTGCGTGTGGCACACAGGTATGGCTTTTCCTCTGAGGAGATCTGCAGAGAAGGCGGTGGTGGATAGAAGGAAGGACCTGAGACGGGGGCGTGGGGGTTCCGGTGAATCACCTGAGAACGACGCAGGCCCTGTGGGTTGGGAGGATGAAGTTGATTAAAGTAGTCGTGGAGAGAGGTGGTGCATGTGTAGAATAAATAGTCTTGCTTGTCGTTTTTCGATCCTCGGGGGGCGGTGCTCGCGTGTAGATCGCCCAAGCCGTCTGTCTACGTTGTTGTTGTTGCCCGCACGCGTGGAAAGGGGGGAGGGAACCGGGGGTATTGTATGTGTTCGTCGTTCTGTAGCCATGATGATGACGGCGTTGTTGGTTAGGTCGGCGTTGGGGGGTGCTTGCCTCACGTTCTGTCCCCCCGATCGATTCTCGAGGCAACACTACTAGTGGCACAAGAAGAGCGTCGTGCCTCTCTGTGCGCGATTTGGGTCGTCCTTTCATGCTCGAAGCCATCCCCCGGCGGTAGAGGTGTATGTACGTTGAAAACCAAACCATGCAACGGTTGTAGAGAAAGAGGCACAGTTTTCCAGAAGGAAGGGTGGTGTTTGTGTGTGTACTCGATAGGAGACGAATCTCCAAGATATCCGGGGGTTACGCAGATGTATATGATGGGTGTGATGGACTCGACACGCTAGGCTCTGCTTGCCTGCTGATGTCTCTCACCCGTTAATACTAAAAGCTTGAGTCAATCCTTCGTGCAGAAACGCTGTCAAGAGCCCGCGAGCGTGATAACGCAGTACACGCGCCGACACCCTAACGGGTGTTTGCGAGCTGGTGACTTTCGGTTTGCCCGATTCTAGGTGGCATTCCTGCAGAAGTAGCAGAGTAATCTGATTACATTTTGGTTGTGACGGTTTCTGTTTTGTTAGCTTCAGCCGCCGCCTTCAAACCGTTCTGATTTTCTCAGTCTCTCCTCTGACTCAAGACGCCGTATAGTTTTTTTCCTACCGTGCGATTTTTTTGTCTCAATCCCTCTTCCAATGGCAAGTCCCTCTTGCAAAGGGATTGAAAAGAATGTTTCCCCGACGTAGCAGGGGGTACACGGAGGAAGTCCCAAGGCTCGTAGTCGGTATTTTAGTGGTGGTGGTACTGTGGTTGGTTGTGGTTAGCACGAATGAAAAAGACATCTCGCCGCGTGTAGCGCCGCCAGTGAAACGTTGTGACTAGACAGATGAGAGTATTAAGTCAAGTTGTCTCATCCTTTGAATAGGGTCAACGGGTACGCGGTGTAAGTCCGGCCATATCCTTCATTGTTGAGCACTATGCGGCCTTTACAGGGACCACTAGCTACATGCTGTCGGTGATGCCGTCGGTGATATACCGCACCCCCATGACCTATTTTCAAAGCTCGATTACATACAGTATTCCACGACGGAAGACGATGCATGTACGAAACATGGGTTTTCGGAAGCTCTCGGCGAGACGGCTTCAACGCCGCCGTTGTCGGCCCCTCCACGCTTTCTGCCGTGGAGAAATCGAGCTTTCTTTGAAGATCGAGCTGGAAATCGTTCTGGGGTGTGTGAAACCAAACGAAGTGCGTGTTTGAAAAACTGGAGAATATGACAGCAGCGCAGTAGCCGCGGCGGCAGACTCACCTACCTGCCACCCCGGGGTCCGAAATTTTATTTTTTCACCACCCAGCCATGCATCGTGTCCACTTCGAATACTTGCACTTGGAACAATACGCACATCACATCACCATGCGCACCACACATACGCAAGAGTTATTGCGGTGTCTGCACAGCAGTTGACGACTGCTGAGTCCTCACATCACTGGAAGTAGCAGTAGAACAGTAGTATCAAACCGTCCGACCTTTGCTCTGTAAATTACATCCGTAACAATAGTCAATTGACGGTGCGCGGATGGATGTCTTCCGTGGCCAAAAGCGAACACTACAAGTACACCAGAAGGAGAACTTGTATCACCGTGCTATTTCGGACCCTTCTGAATGCTCACATATGGATAGGTTCTCCATAGCTGACAAGTTCTACGGGAATGCTACTCCAGTAAACATTGCAATGACAATGACACGCGCCGTAGGTTTTTTGCTCAACCATTAACAGCTTAATTTCAATACGAAAAATCTATAATAGCACGTGTTCCACGTCTGTCTGTCGGAGTGCCCCGGGCTAATGAATACAGAACACCTGCCACAGGTTAATGTAGGCAGGCGTTGTAGTGTCGAACGGCGTGAATGATACCCAACCCAACCCAACCCAAAATTCAACCCAACTCTAACCCGACCGACCGACTGACCGACCGATCAAACCACCGACCGACCCAGCCCACCCTAACCCCAACCCAACCCCCGACCGATCCAACCCTACTCATCAACCCAAAGCACAAAACCCAACAACAACACAACCGGCCGACCGACCGACCGACCCAACCCGTCACCCATCGGTGCATCCTACTCCCAACCCAACCCAATCCGAACCCAAAACACAACCGTACACCAACCGACCGACCAAGCCCATCCTACCTTTTACATTGTCCAACCCAACCCAAAACTAAGCCCAACCCGACCCCAAGAAATAACCCGACCAACCGACGGACCGACCGACGGACAGACCGACCGACCCGATCCTACGCTACCCCACCCTACCCTTCCCTATCCAACCCAAAACTCAACCCAACCCCAAATCGACCGACCGACCGACCGACAGACCAACCTAGCCCATCCTACCTCCAACCCAACCGAACCCGACCCCAAAAGCCAACCCGACCAACCGAGCGACCAAACCCAATCCGACCCAACCCCAAAACACACCAACCCAACCAACCTACCGTCCGTCCGTCCGACCGACCGACCGACCGACCGACGTCACCCACCCTACCCCCAACCCAACCCAATCCGACTTCACAACACACCCCGGCCAACCGAGCGACCAAACCCACCCTACCCCACCCTACCCCACCCTACACCACCCAACCCAACCTAACCCCCAACCCAACCCGACCCGACCTACCGACCGACCGTTCACCCCGCTCGCACCTCGCCACAAAGAATAACTGATACTGCTTGGTGGAAGCGGGGAGGAGAGGACACTCTCTTGGCAAGAGGGCAAGAGGGGAACGATAGGAGAGGAAGGATGAAATCAGTTTACGACTGTGTCGTACTAGATGATTGTGCAATGTACCTCCGGAGCAGCGCACACGTCGACGGCTCTGCCAGCCCCAGCCGACGGAGAAGGGAGCAGAGCGGGAGGTGCCCTGGCCAGTTGTGTGTCTTGTTCTTGTTGCCCGTTGCCAAACAACGAAGGAGACACGTTGATGCCGCTGTTGGTCGAATTACGAAAGAGGTGCAATAGAAGAAGGGTAAAGAACCACCTAAAGTAGAAGAAAGCGGAGAAACATCGAAGGCTCAGGTATCGTCATATCTAAAGAGGCAACGACGCGTGTAAGTAAGCAAATGCGACCGGATGAAGAGGTCGACCGCTCGTGGGGGAGGTATTATAGTAGTGCGGGCAGCAGCAGCGAGTTCGACCTGGTCGACTCGACGCTCGTTTAGTTTAAAATGTACATCGTGTGTGAAGCACGAAGGACGCAGACTACCACTTGAAACAAAAAAAGAAGTTCAATCTTTCAAAAAATGGTAACATACGTAATCCAAAGAGAAGTCTCTTGGCCCCCATGCTCCCACGGTGTGGTACGGTGGGTTTGGCCGATGGGTTGGTTGGGCTGTGTTTTGGGGTCGGGTTGGGTAGGGTTGGAGGTAAGGTGGGTTTAGTCGGTCGGTCGGTCGGTCGGTAAGGTTGGGTTTGGGTTTTGTGCTTTGGGTTGATTGGGTAGGGCAGGGTGGGATCGTGTAGGGTAGAGTTGGGTCGGCGGTCGGGGGTTGGGTTGGCGGTAGGGTGGATTTGGTCGGTGGCTTGGTCGATCGATTGTTCGGGTTGTGTTTTGGGGTCGGTCGGGTTGTGTTGGGTTGGGGGTAGGGTTTGTGGGTTGGGCGTATATAGGGTTGGTCGGTCGATCGGGCTTCGCACGGGCTACTTCGTGGTCGCTCGGCTCCTGTGCGTGTAACTGTATCCACGTGTATGTTTTTGGCGGAGTGTTTTTACGCATTTGTGCGTGGTTCTTTTGGAGGAGAGTAGGTCTTGATTGGGGCGTGTTGGTTACAAGTGTCGCCCTGCATGTTGCAATCGGTTCACTTGGGATCAGGCGGATTGTGGGGGTTGTTTTCTTGCTCTGGCGGTATCCATGGGTTTGTTCGTCTTCACCCGACCGTGTCCGGTCGTTGAATTAATTGGGTTGGGTTGGGTTTGGTTGGATTGGGTAGGGTTGGGTTGGGGTCGGGTCGCCGCCGTCGATCGCGCCGCCGTCGCTTTGTTGTTCGTCGCCGTTGGGTAGGGTTGGGGAAGGGTTGGGGTAGGGTTGGGTATGGGGTTGGTGATTGGGAATGGTTGGGTAAAGGGTTGGGTAGGTTTCGGTATAGGGTTGGGAAGAGTAGGGTTGGGTTGGTTGGTCGGTCGGTTGGTCGATCGGGCGGCCTTGGGCCGCCTTCGTCGATCGCGCCGCCGTTGCTCCGTCGGTCGTCGCCGTCGGTCGCTCTTGTATAAAAATATCACGAGCAGCAGACGTACGGCAAACTCACACCTACTACTACTACACCTACCACTCCGGGGTCCTAAATTCTCAACAGCCAGCCACTTTCGAACACTTGCACGTGGATACAGTTTGTAGTAGTACGCACATTGTTTTGTTGTTTGTTGTTGTTTCTCACATTAGCTCTATTGTCCACAAAAAATGGGGAGCCCGTGGTCTCAAAACCCGGCACATACGACGCCGCGGGGAAACAAAACAAAAATAGGGTACAAACCGCTCGGAACAAGAAACAAAATGATAGAAAGAAAAGAACAGGTATCGCACCGACCGTTCGAGAAAAGAGCCCTCGGAAACCGATCACAATAAACAAAAACAAAAATAAAGGAGGACGCTTCCCACACCAGCCCAAAGAAAAAATCAAAGGGTAACGTACCAGCACCAGGCACTACGCACCAGGGCATGGGAGTAACGGAGAAAACAGGACAAAGAGGCGGCAGATGGGCAGACAGCCAGACGTACAAGAACAAAGGCAACAGCAAAGCGAGTTCACGGTACCCAACACAGCAGAGTAGGCGGGGAGGTCATGAAAAAAAGAAACACAGGAACACAGCACAGAGACCGAAGGCAATACAAAGGACATTCATAAAGGGGAATAGCATACAGCAGGGAGGGAAGCAGGGCGCAATAGCATCAGCCGGGGACATAGTTCGCCACAAGTGCTGCCTCGGCCGCCCTACTCGCTTCTACAGCAGTGCCCGGTCGCCGTTTTTTCCCCCCCACCGCCGCTTTCCCGGCTCTCTTTCTCTTAGGTCCTGAGGCCGTACTCTCTGCTTCTGCTTCCCTCGCGCGCTGGCGCTTCGCGGACGCTTCCGCCTCCTGCCTGTGCCATTTCCTCATGAACCATGCCGTCCCGTCCTCGACCTTGTTGTACCACACCTCCGGATCCTTGGCGCTCTTTTCCCATTCCCCCCNACGGTGGATCCCATTGAGCTTCGTGTAGTGCTCCGCTGTTTGGCTCCACGAGGCGTACCCATACAGGAGAGTCTCCACCACTTCAGCCTGGAGTAGCCGGATCTTGAGCTGGCGGTTGGGCCGTCGCCTGTCGTACATCGAAGCACCGTTCCGGTGGTAGCACTTTCACGCTCGGCAGCTGCGGCTCGTGATCTCCCGGTCGGCCTTCCCGTCCGCGGAGATGGTACGTCCGAGGTACACCAACCGATCTGTCTGCTTGTACGTCTGGCCGGCGGCGCTGACCGTGAACGGGCGTTCCTCGATCCCTTTCGGCAGCATGCACATGGTCTCCGTCTTTGGCTCCGATACCATTAGTCCGAACAGGCCGGCCACGCGCACGATGACGGACATCATCTTTTCGAGGCTCTCCGGCGTGAGCGAGACGATGGCCGCGTCGTCAGCGTAGAGCATGTCCCACAGGGCCTCTGCGACCGTCACCATCATCGCCTTCTTCCCCGCCGACCTGCCCCTCTTGCCCGTGCACTCCACTCGTGTTGCGATCTTGATCATATCCGCCGTCACCTTGGGGTCCTTGTCGAACTCGGTCACTGCGACCATGCGCATCGCGGCAGAGAACAAGTTGAACAGCAGCGGGGCCAGGTTGCACCCCTGTCGGAGACCTTGGCCGACGTCAAACCATTCCGAGTACTGCCCGTCGTCCGTTCGAACCCGCGCCCTCATGCCCTCGTGGAAGTGGCGAATGACCGCCAGCATCTTCGGGGGCACGCCGAAGCGTCGGAGCACGTCCCACAATAGGTCTCGGTCTACCGAATCGTATGCCTTGGTGAGGTCGACGAAGCACGCGAACACCGCAGTACTCTTCTTCCTCGCGAGCTCATGGAGCCGCTGGATGGCGAACAGCATGTCGAGCGTCGACCGGTGTGGGCGGAAACCGCTCTGTTCCTCCGGGAGGATGCCCTCTCGCTCGCAGTAGTGGCTCAGTCGTGTAGCGACGACCTTAAGCAGCACCTTGCCGGCGTGTGCGACGAGAGAGATGCCCCGGTAGTTACCGCACTCCATCGTGTCCCCCTTCTTGAAAAGCACTTTGATGGTGGCATCGTTCCACTGCTGTGGTACGTCCCCAGTCTGCCACACGTCCACGACAATGGCGTGGAATTCGCGGAGGAGACCTTGATCTCCGTCCAGGAAAAGCTTAATCAGCTCAGCCGGTAGGTCGTCCGGCCCGACGGCCTTTCTGTTGGCCATTTCCCGTACCGCTTCCTCAACCTCAAGTAGAGATGGGATGTCGTCGAGTGGCACGCACGTGGGCCACCGCTTGACCTTGTCAGCCGTATGCAGGTCGATGGTCGGCGACTTGGTGTTGAGAAGCTTGTGGAACCACCGTGCCCACCGTTGGCGAATAAACGTGGGGTCCCGAAGGACCTTGCCGTCCTCGTCCTGGATGTCCTGAGAGGTGAACGACCTGTTACCTTCGACGTCGATCATCTTCAGGTGCCTGTAGAAACCCGCCTGATCCCCCTCGCGGCTCTTCTTCTCGAGCTGCCGTACATAGCCCTCGAAGAACGTTTCCAGTGCTCTCCACCTCGCGGTGCTGCACTTCTTCCGCGCCGCCTTGAGCATCGCCTTCAGGGTCGCCTCGAACGCGCTGTTCTTTGAGGCCCCACGCAGTTGCTGCTGGGCCGCCTTAATCTCCTTCGACGCTTCGGAGATCTCGTGCTGCGCTTCGCTCGTGTACCAGCCTCTCTGCCCTCGTGCGCACCTCGCCAGCGGCGCGGTCTCAGCAGCGGCCGACATCACCGTGGCCGTCAGCTCGGCGGCGGTCTCTCCCGTTGGCCGCCTGAGCGCCGTGAGCGGAGGGCGGCTGGGGGCCCTGTTTTGGAAGGCGCCCCGTAGGTGTTTGTCCTTCCTCAACCGCTCGAGGTCGATACGGATCCGGCTGCTTCCGCTGTTCCCCCGCACTCGTCGGTTGGGTGCGACACGTTGCGTACCATACATTCGCAAGAGTTTATTGCAGTGTCTTGACAGTTCACCATCTACTGCTGAGTCCCCATATAACTTGAAGTAGTAGACTAGTCTTCGTCTAAAAGTAGTCAACCGTCCGATCTTTGCATTGTACCTTCCATCCGTAGGACTGCTGTAGACTATGTGGTAACGGTCAATTGACGGCACGCGGATGTATGTCTTCCTCCTTCCGCGGTCACAGGCGAACAATACCACCCCGAAGGAGAACTTGTATCACGATGTTCATTCGGACCCTCCTGAATGCTCGCATGTACCTACTTTTCATGCTAATGTGCACATATTATATGCATAGCCAAGTTGGACGGAATTCTACTTCTGTGCACACTCAAGTACAAATGATGGACAATGTACACAGCACGCATGAGCCGTAGATTTGCTCAACCATTAACATAACTTTATTTCAGCACGAAAAAAAGCTGGTACGCATATTCTAACACCTGTTCCACCTCTTTGGGTGTGCCTCCGGGCTAAAGTGTACAGCTGGTACCCGCCACAGGTAAGCAGGAGAGAGGCTACTGCCTCGCACGTATATGCAAGTAGGAGGTAGGCGTTGTAGGCTCGAACGGCGTGAAAGCTGGCAGGTTGGGGTCCAAAAGAGACCTCGCTTTAGTCTAGACTACTTTCAAGCGTAGCAGGTCTCAGATTCGTGCTTCACTTACAATGTAACACATACATATCTTGCGTGAAAAATAAACAAAACGGGCGTCGAGTCGAGCAGATCGAAGTCGCTGATGCTGCCCCCACTACTATTCCTACCCCACTTTTTGCACCCACCGAGCGGTCGACCTCCTCGTCCGGTCGCATCGCATCTGCTTATTACCTGCCACCACACGCGTCGGTGCCGCATCAGGTACGATACATGAGCCTTAGATGTTCCCCCGCTTCTATGATATAGAGTCTAGTTGGTTCTTTACACTTCTTTTGCGCTTCTTTTGCAATTGACCCGCAGTGGCATCAGCGCGCCTCCTTCGTTGTTTGCCAACGGGCAACAACAAAATCAAGACACACAACACACAACTGGCCAGGGCACCACCTCCTCTGCTGCCGATGCTGCTGCTGGCGGGCATGTGGGAGTTGTTCTGCTGTCCAACCCGCTCGCATCCCGCCACCCAAGAAGACCTGATACTGCTTGGTGTTAGCGGGGAGTAGAGGACAGTCTCTTGGCGAGAGGGCAAGAGGGGAACGATAGCAGAGGAGAGAGGGATGACCTCGATTTTCGACTGTGTGGGAGACTGCACGCTATGCCTCCCGAGTGACAACAGCACGCACGTCGACGACTCTGCCACCCCCAGCAGACGGAGATGGGAGCAGGAGAGAGAGGCCGAGTATGGCCATTCGTATGCCTCCAGCGGGCATTCTTCCGGACAGGTGCGCTAGGCGACGGGTGTGTCACTTCGATTGTTGTAAGCTCTTGGCTGGTAGGCGGGAGCACGACCTGGCCCCTTTTGTGACAGCGGCGCGGTTGTTGGTGTCAAAATGGCATCGATGTCGAGGCTGGTTTCGACGATTCAGTTGCCTCCGATCGAAGCCGGCTCGACAGATTGCTCTAGGGGGAAGTTAACTGGTAGTCACCATAGCGTGTACTCCAGCGCGACTGAGCGAGCGAAGGTAGCCAGCACGATCGATATCCAAATTGTGGATGGCTTGCTACGCATACTCTACATGGCGGCATTGACAGACCACGCGTTTGTTACCTGCTGCTGGTCGCGAACTCGTAAGAAACACATCTTATTACATCAGAGCGTGTGGCATTTGAATCCCACACAGCTGGTTCCCGAGCCTTCAGGGAACCAAGCGAAACTAAACGCTCACGGGCACCAGAGTTTTTGTGCGCACGTTGGCTATGAGGCGTAAGACACATGCATAGAAAGGTGCTGTGATCAGAACATCGATGTTTTTGTTGCGGGGATTTATTATCTTTACTCCGAGTTATTCTGTACCGAAATAGAATATGCATACACGAAAAAATTACAATCTTTCGGCGCGGGCAAGCCACCTACACCGCAAACAACCGCGACCAGACCACCGGAGCTGTCAGTGGTAGGACCACGGTCGGTCTCGAGGGAAGGCGACAGGCGTGTGGCTCAGACATCGCCGCCATCGCTCATAGTTTGACTTTGTTCCCATCTGCCTCTCTGCCAGCCAGCAGCTGCTTTACATTCCTGTGTCCGACGCACGTTCTATCCAGGAGACGGGGCATCTCTTTTTTTCCCCGTACATGTCCGCCGCAGCCTCTGCCGTGGCTATTTTTTCGTCGCCCTCAGGTCTTCTCACCCTGTGTCGCACAAAATCATTGGAAGCTTACTGCTGCAAGCGTCACCACACCCTCTCTACTTGATATACATGGGTACTGTTACTGCTGTTCAGAGGTGCTTCCTGCTGCTCCTGTTGAATGTCAAAAATACCCAACCGTCACAGCAAGCAGTTCGGCGGCCCTTGTGTGTACTTCCGTTAAAGGGAATCACACCTGTTGGTGGGCGAACATTACTGGTTCCCACATGGTGCCTCTTGCCAAACATGGCATGTTCCAGTCATCGCCTCAGGCAGGTGCAAGTGTTTACAAGTGCTTGTCATGGGAGTATCTCATTGAGTCCCATCCAAACCTTCGTCTCCTGCAGATTTCTCTACATCTATATATATCCAAATCTTGTCTACTGCTGTACCCCTTGAATATATCTTGGACATTGACACTCCAGACATGAAAGAAGCGCCTGGTGTTCGGCGGCTCGGACGAAAACATACACTCAACACATCTGCCCGCCAAAAAACTTATTGACCGTTGGTTGCGATGTTCACTAACTAAATAATGAAAACTGACAAAAGGGACGTTTCGAGGTTTTCCTTTTTTAAACATGACCAACAACATGATCAACGGGGTAGATATACTTCTCACTCGAGAAAGCCTTGGACCAATCAAACGCTGTGGCGAAGTGTCTGTCTGTCTGCAGCTCACTGCAGCATCAAACATTTATTATTTTTGCTAAAGGATTCATTGCTTGTCTGTATAGTATACTTTTTTAGAGAAAGAGATGGATTCTCTTGGGTCATACAATGGACAATTTAGATACAACACAAATTAGATTTGTCGAAATTTGAAATTTGCCGCCCTTCCGAGGATGGACATTGACTGTTGAATGTTGTCGCGAATCGTCCCTAAAACAATTTCTTGCTCTTTCCCACCGAACTTTCGTCGAGAGGCCGGGACGGCCGAGTAAAAACACACACGGAGCATTGCTATCTCGCACCGTAGACGATGAAGGCTCCAGGGGAAAGCACTCCCTGCCGTACGCAGGCACATTCCGCCGCTGCTTCTGAATTCGTACTCGTTAATTTCAGCTGTTACACACCCCGTTCAAAACTACCGGTTTTGTGCCTGCAATCGAGAGAAAGACCGTCACACTAGATACCCTCCAGTCTGTCACTCTCGCTAACGATGAAGGTCTCGAATCACCTTTCGTTCGCTATCGACGGTTGCCAAGCTGCTGCTGCCGCTGTACCCAAATGCGAACGAACATAAGGATCCGATTGACGCTAATGACGAAAATATATTGACAACCACTGCTGTAAAACCACAGCTCCTGGGTGGATCCTACACGAAAGTCTTCGGAATCATCTGCTCGACTGAGAGCTATTTACCGTCAAGACGAAGTAAAGAAACTTAGCGTCGATGACCCGAAATTGGCGTGTCTTGTCTCCGCGCGCCACTGCTGTTTTATGTGCCCACAGCGGCGCCCGCCGCGATTGTTCCGGTCGGACACCGGTCAGGACACGTGCGGCTCATCCGACTCGGGGTTCTGCGGCGGGGACTACAACTACTACTACCATTCCCACAGCAACATGTTCGACACCAGCGCCAACCGCTACCGCCCCCCGACCCCTCCCCGAGAGAGACGCACCTCCAGGCGCCAGCCCGGAAGAGCGGCGGCGGCAGCGGCGGCAGCAGCCCCGCGGTCGTTGTCCTCACCGCCGCGCGTGCGGCCCACGTCCTCGAGGTCCCCGCTGCCGCTGCCGCTGCCTCTGCCGCCGCTCCGGCTCCGGCTGCCGCTGCCGCCGCCGTCGACGCCGCCGACGCCGACGCCGGTGTCCACGCCGCTCATCGTGTCCCAGGCCGTGCAGCGGGCGGCGGCGGCGGCGGAGCGCGCGACGGTCGCGCAGGAGCTGGCGGAGCAGGCCGCTGCCACCGCCCGGGAGGCCGAGAACGCGGCCGCGCGAGCGGTGGAGGCGGCGGAGTCCGCGTCGATCGCTTCCCTGACAGGCGGCGGTGGCGGCGGCGGGACGAAAGCCTCCTACGCAGGTTTCAGGCGCGGAAGGGGGGCCCGTCCGGGGAATTTCCGCGAGCCGCCGGAGCTGAATGTGCGGGACGGATGGCGATTCGGTCCAGGGGGCCCGTTGTGTCGAAGGGTATCCGAAGGGTGGTTCGGAAAGGGGGAGGCGGAGGCGACGACGGCGGGAGGCAGCAGCGGCAGTTCTGAAGGGCGAAGCAGCTCTGACGACTTTGGCAGCGTCGGCAGCAGCAGCAGCAGCAGCAGCAGCAGCTGCAGCCGCCACCACCGCGACGACGACGACGACGACGACGACCGTGCTAGGATGACCGTGGCGGTGGCGGAAGCGACGTCGGAAGCGGAGGCGGCGGCGGGCGCGATGAAGTTGTCCTCCTTGTCGCCGGTAGGCGGTATCAAGAGGTCCGCGGCGAGACCACCTTTTGCGGGCTTTTTCGCGGACTCTCAAGGAAGAGCGGTAGGCGACGACCGCGGAGCGGAAAGGGTGTCACCGGCCGCTTCGATCGAAGCGGGAGTGGCAGCAGCAGCAGCGGCGGGGGCGGGGGCGGGGGCGGCGGCGGCGGCAACAATGGCGATGGCCGCCCCGTCCCCGTCCGACGGCCCCCGAGAGGACGCAAGGCAAGCCACGGCTGCAGAGATAATGGAGTCGATCGCTTCGCTGCTGTCGGCTAGGCCGATGACCGCGGTAAGGGCGGCGATGCAGGCGCGCATCGACGGCGAGCTACGACGCCGTCACCGCTCGCCTCTGGCGGCGACGGCGGGGTACCGCTCGGACCGACGTGCACCAGGAACGGACCGCCCGGAACACTCGGGAGATAGCACCCGGACGATGGCGGTGGCGGTGGCAACCCCGGTCGCCGTCCCTTCCGGCGGCACCTACGGCGGCGATCAGCTCGACAGTGGCGGCGGCGGCGGCGGCGGCCGTGACCAGGAGGAGGAGCATGGCCGCGCCGCTGCTCGCCGCGCGGCTACAGCCGCCGCAGCCTTCGTGGCGTCTAGGAACGGCTTCAGCAGCAGCGGCGACGGCAGCGATAGCAGCGTCAGTACAGGGCAAGAAGAGATGGCCAGCACGGGACAAGAAGACGAAGAACACTGCCGCGCGGTGCAGGCTCTGGCCATCGACGTGGCGCGGTCCTTATCGTGGACCACCGGCGCCGGCGCCGCCGCGGCCGCCGCCTCCCCGGTGCTTGAGCTCCCGGTCCTCCGCACACAGGTGAGGCGCCCGTCGCAGTCGAGCTACGGCGGGAGCGCCAACGAGGACGGGGCCGGCAGCCACAGGGACAGCACGGACCTGGTGTACCTGTCCGAAGTGTCCGACTCGGACTTATCTACGATCCTCACGACCTCTTTATCCGGCATGCCCTTCCACGACACGGTGTTTGGAAGCGGCGACCAGAACGTCGGCGGCGGGGGCGATGTAGAGGATTGCAGCCCCGGAGGGAAGGTGTGGGTGGCGACGACCTTTCCCAGAGAGAACACCGAGGTTGCGGAGGATACCAGGGTGGCGGCGGCGGCGTTGGAAAAGGGGTTGGGAGAGGAGGAAGAAAAGGTCGACCCGGCCGTGCTCAGCAGGTGGGCAGAGCTTTGCTACCACGTCAGACGTGTTTCCCGCGGCAGGCCGGACTTGTTGTTTCTTTGGCCCTTAGAAAGTACTACGTGTACATACATGTAACAGGCACGGAAACGTTAGACCGGTTTTAGTGAAAATCATACCACTTGTGCTTTGGATTGTGTGTCTTCTTGACCCTCCTAGTACCCAGTCCCTCCGCAAAAAAAAAGCGCAAATTTGTTTGTCAGCCATTGGTCGAGGGGATACAGTCCCTCCAAAGAATCTGAGCTCCTTGCCAGACCAAGGGTGACTTGTCTTCAGTGTTAAAAGTGTCCCCAAAACACGTGGTATGCTGAGGTCAAGTCAGCAATTTTTTCCAGGACCAGGCGATGTATAGCAGTTTCACGACCTACGGGGCAAGCGGGTTGGGGGATGTGTACAGCTAGTCAGAGGCCCAGGAGAGGCGTCACACAGCATATCACGCAGCGTACCACCTCAGCCAAGCATGATAGACGAAGGGTTCTCTCGTGCGTTGCACACAGCGGAGCCTAGGATGACTACAGCAGTGCCGTAAATATGTAGGCATTTGAGTGCTGTGTCCCCAAACTGTCCCCACTTGGGCTTCTAGGACTAGGAGGGTTGAGAAAGAGAGTCCCGTCTTTTTTTTTTTTCCGGGCCGGGGTGTTGAGGTCAGAGTGGCAATTTCATCGATGGACGGGTTTGCACGACGAACAACCTGTAGTTTTTAGTTTCCTTTTTATAGGAAACCGAGAGGATCACTTCGCGTGGTGAGTGTTCGTGCTCTTCTTGCCTCCCCTTGCATCTGGTCTTGAGCTTTCGTTGCACGCCAAGGTTGGCGGAGGCCATGTGTTTGTCCCGGAGATGTTCATTTCGCTGACGAGTTCTGAGTTACATGTTTTCTTCTTTCATTGTGGAGCCCAAGTAATTTAATCCAAGAGTGAACCTCTCGCAGAGGAGGCAAAATGATCGTGCGTACAGCTTCACGCACCCAATTCTGTCACTGCTGTGCTACTACACTACAGCTTCGTACCATAACAACACCACCACCAACAACAGCAACACCATATCGTGTCGCCCCGGCCCTGCCCCTCCCTTAACCAATCTTCGTTTGCGCCCAAGCGGGACGAGTGACACCGACGGCAGCGTTGACCACCAACGGCGAGGGGATGAGGTCTCCTCTGCTGACAGCGGGGGGTCTGGCACAAGTTGGAGACGGGACGGTGACGTATTGGTGCGTTTTTTTTTCTCCTTTTTTTCTCCGTTGCCTGCCGGTTCTTTTTCTTTCTTCGCTGGAATTTTCTCCTGATTGTCGTCGCAAGAATAGCTGTGCTTCCTCATGCATCGAAAACAGATAGCGGTATGCTTCTTCATGCACCGAAAATAGATATGCTTCGTCATGCATCGAAAACAGATAGAGTGCTTCCTCATGCATCGAAAAGTGTTTTTGTCGTGACATTAAAGCAAGAGTTTCTGGTGTAGAATTTTGTCTGATTTTTCCTTCTCACGACATTATCGAAAAATACGCTCGTCGTGACATTTTTAGACAGAAACGTGCGGGTTGTTCGTCTGGTGTTAATGACGGCACGCCTTGACGACCTCTGTTTTGCTCGCGACATTGAACGAAAAAATAAACAAAGATTCGAAACAGAGACAAGAAGGATCGGGCTAGCGTGAACGTTATCGAGGCCATCGCTAGCGAAGCCAAGTGCCTGGAAACCGTGCCCTGCAAACGCGATGCTTCTGGTGACGGCGCCAACAGCAACCAGGGGCTAGACCTGGGTCAGGATGGGGGCAGCAACGGCTCGGGCTCACCCGCGAAGACGTGAGTACGGGCCACCGGGGGGGGGTGGGGTACTCATGGTCATGCTTGCCTTGGTCGTTAGACCATTGACCTCGTATCCCTACGAGGCCGGGACGGGGCACGCCAGGTTCTCACCAGACCAGGCTCTCTCATCACGACGCGCGGAGCGCCGTGAGGTATTCGGCGAGTCGCATGGAGGGTACGCAGCATCCTGCCACCGGGGGCAGGG